AGACAGGCTATATCTATGGGAGTATATCAACTGCAGTACAGTATGGTCTTTTGTCCATGGCATTGCCTAGAGTCTGAAGTAACAAGAATCAAGATTATTCTTGTGAGCTCATGTGATATTTTACAGACTGCTTAGTGCTGCTCCACTATTTAACCATTTACTGTATAACCTTGGTAACTGCTTTTTTAAAAATAAAACAATGACACTTGCAATATTTAAAATTGTAAAAATTGTAAAAATACAAAAAAAACCCCAACTGGTATTGTAAAAATACAATAAAGCATACCATCGGAGGCAGAATCTGATTCTCACACTGATACTTCACTGAAAGTTTCAAATTTGCCTGTAAGTAGCAGCTTTTGGAGCTGCGGTGGCTCAAGTGGTTAAGACGCTGAACTGCAGGCTGTGGAGGGTCAGTAGTTCAGCAGTTTGAGACCCGAGTGTGCCGCATGACGGAGTGAGCTCCCGTCTCTAGTTCCAGCTCCTGCCAACCTAGCAGTTTGAAAGCAAGAAATTGCAAGTAGATAAATAGGTACCACTTCGGTGGGAAGGTAACAGCGTTCCATGCGCCTCAGTGTTTAGTCATGCCGGCCACATGACCACGGAAACGTCTTTGGACAGTGCTGGCTCTTCGGCTTTGAAACGGAGATGAGCACCGCAACCCTAGAGTCGGACTCGACTGGCTTTCGAGCAAGGGAACCTTTACCTTTTAGCAGCTTTTAGCTACCAAGCACCTGTTGCCAGGCTAGTCTGAGGGGCCAGTGATTAACGGCTACCTAAATTTTTAAAACATTGGCTCAAACTTTGGGGAAAAAACCACCCAACAGCAGTACACACAGGAACCAGGAAAAACTCTCGTGCATCAAATGTTTTTACCAGACCACAGAAAGCAAAGAAGCAGATGACATCACAGGGAATTTCTTAAGGTGGGTGCCACAGTAGACATTAAGTTGCCTTACACTTAGACTCTTGCTCTATCAGGGTCTACTCTGACTGGCAGTGGTTCCCCAGAGTCTCAGGCAGAGGACTTAGATATCACCTGATCATTTCAACTGGAGATGCCAGGGACTGAAGACTAACACTACTGAATGCTTAAGACCAAGGTTGCCAACTGCAGCTTGCAAAGTTCCTGGCAGTGGGAGGAATCTGGGGACAAGAAGGAGCTCAGTGGGGATGTGGTGCCATTGATGCTTCCCTCCCATGCTGCCATTTCCTCCAGGGGAAGCAATCTCTATCATCTGCTGATCAGGTGTAAATTTTTTGAGAACTCCAGGCTCCACCTGGAGGCTGGCAACCCCAGCTAGAATACATTATGTTGGTCTTTAAGGTGGTACTGTGCGCTATAAAAATGTTCTGGTAATAGCTATAAAAAGGCTATGGCAATAATGTTCTAAACAACAAATTTAAGGAATAGTCAAATCAGGCCTGCTCACAACACTTAAACGCTAGTGGTCTTTTGGTTCACAAAGCAGAATTTTTGCTCACGGCACTCCACAGCTTAGAGGGAACATTGGTCACATGTTGGGAGAAAAGCAGTGCTCCGCAATCACGCTGTCACTCTGATTAATCAAAGCTTGCTTCTGGAAAAGCACAACCTGTACATTCTAGGATATTTTAGTCACCAGTCAGGATTATGGGCCAAATGATGGCATTCAAACAGAAAGGACAGGAGGTGTTCGAATCAGTGTTCCCTCTAAGCTGAGTTGGTGTGAGCTAGCTCACAGTTTTTTAGCCTCTGGCTCACACTTTTTTGTCTCAGCTCAGCAAGGACAGCTCCAGAGCAAACTGATTTATGCAGTAGGCAAATCGCTCGCTCACAACTTTAATGCCCATAGCTCACAAGGTAGAATTTTTGCTCACAAAGCTCCACATCTTAGAGGGAACATTGGTTCGAATGTGTCAGTGTCCTCGTTGTTTTTGTAAAAGACAAGGGGCAAGAGACTAACACTGTGCGCCTTCCATGTCAGAAAGCAGACAGAGAAGCACAGTTGTTGGAGGCCCTGTGCGGTATCAAAACAGTTTGCTGTGCCTAAGAGATCAGGACCTAGCCCCATCCAGGCTTCACCAGGGATGCCAAAGCTACTTAGACCGCCTGGCCAAAAGTGATCAACTAGAACAAACTTAACAACATGTCCACGACACAGTGGAGGTCTCATGGACCACCCTGGTTTAGCATGGGAAGATAAGACCTCAAAGGAGGAAGACAACCTGCCCCCAAGCCCTGCCTTGGCAGACCATGCCATTGAGGCAGACTCACCAATTCCTCTCCATAGGAACCTTGAGCCAGCACCAGCACTGCCTCCCTCCCCAAGCCGGCAAGGCCCTGAGGCCTGGAGGCCCCAGCGTGGACCCACCTATGAGTCTCCTAAAACACACGACGAGCAGAGGAGCTTAAGGCTAGGATGAGGCAAGGATGGGCACAAGAATGGGCACAGGACAGGATGACTGCAACAGGATTTGCCTAGCGGCCCTAGGCTTCCTCTCTACTAAGGAAATACTAGGAGAGACTGATAAGTTACTACAGGATCTGAACCCGGGTACTCCTCATGAGTAGAGGAGCTAACTCAGCTTGTGAGAAGACGCCTAATGGCCCA